ATTAGGTTGGAGGCCATCGCTATTGGGTTGGAGGCCATCGCTATTAGGTTGGAGGCCATCGCCATTAGGTTGGACGTCATCGCTATTGGGTTGGAGGCCATCGCTATTAGCTTGGAGGCCATCGCTATTAGGTTGGAGGCCATTGCTATTAGGATGGTTTGGCCTCGAGCAACTCAAAGACCCTGAAACCAATGTCTTACTTGTCGGTTCATGTCTTGGTATGGAAACCCTGTCTGTTGTAAAAAATAATCCACCCACAACTGGGAGTAGCTACATCAAACCGTATGGTTTGGCAAACTGTGGATCAACAAGAAAAGAATAGGCTTCATATGCACAAGCAATCTCCCTGCCTGGCGCGCATCAAAGCCACTATCCCTCAATGTTGTGTAGACCTCCTCAATGACCTTGGTCTCACAGCTTGCTTGGCTTCAAAATTGAACAGAGTGAGCCATGAGTGCTTCAGTGCTTCAGAAGTGATCCAAAGAACGTAGCCTGAAAGAGTCTGAACAAAAGACATAGCGACGGCCTCCAACCTAATAGCGTCTTTGCTCCGTTCGTAGCGATGCCGATTGCTCCTAGTAGCAAAGGAACCTAATAGCGATGGCCTCCATCCTAGAAGTAAAAGCAACTGTCAGAAAATGTACTTGTTCCTAGTAGCGTCCTTGTTACTACTAGTAAGGCACTTGTTACTAGTAGCGTGGCACTTGTTACTAGTAGCGTGGCAACTGTCAGTGGACTGATTCCGTCAAGTCGGCCACGACTATCGTATGCCGAGAATCTTCAGGCCCACTTTTGGCCTAGAGGAGCGCAAAATGCAGCAAGCACAGTCTGGCATTACTACTATATAGTAACAAGAAGCTACTAGGGGCTCCTGGCCTTACTACTAGGAGCAAGAAGCTGCTAGGAACAAAGTGCATCGCTACGAACGGAGCAAGGACGCTACTAGTAGCTCCTCTAGACTCCAGGTCAAAAGTTGTCCGTCCTGGACTGAGTCACGCGTCTTTCAAAACGTCTCAAAAGCCTGGCTCGGAGGAGCACCAGGCGCTTTGACAAAGGCCTCCTTGGTATCAAGCTGTTCGTTTCTCAGCGACCATTTCTAGGGTGGAGGCAACAAGAAGCGCGTGACGAAGAATCGCAACCGCAACAAGAATCGCCTTTTAGTCAAGCCTCGTGCACTTTTGCTTTCTCAACTGCCTGCGTCCAATAGCGTCTTTGCTCCGTTCGTAGCGATGACAGGAGCCCCTAGTAGCGAACATTGTTACCACTAGTAAGGCACTTGGTTCCTAGTAGCGATGCACTTTGTTCCTGTGTGATGAAAAATCGGTCTGTATGAAACCGCAAAACATGCAACCATCAGATGTCTGCGTGGCATCGACATACCACAGCCAGAACATTCTCCACTGCCTCACTGGGAGGAGCCCCGGGAGCTTTGACAAAGGCTTCCTGGGTCTGATTGAAAAAGTGCCTTTCCAACACGGGAAGCTCAATGATAGCACAATCACAGCTTGAATTGCTGACACATCCCCTCTCTCTCTATGTACATATCTACATACTATATATATATATAATATATATATATATACATATACGTAGTCATATAGTCTTGATTGCTTTCTGAAGTACAAGCTTCCTGAGGAGCAGCCCTTGAGTCTTCACCCTGACAACTGATGCGACGGGAATAAATCATGACAGGATTCAAAACCAACATTTGTGCTGCATCATTGTGAAAGAAAGACAATTGATGTCAAGTTTCCCAAATAATCGAGGAACCAAATGAATTAACCATGTGAGGGCTTCTTCAAGGAAGCCTCCCCCCAGCCCTCAGGTGGGGGGCTTCCTTGAAGCCTGAGAAAAGAGTTCCATCAAAAAAAGTGTTGCTTTAAGTCTCTGTGAGCCTCCATGCTGCCACTGCTTCCGCTGATTCAATGCCGTATTTTGCTGTATGTAGGCACGTGATGGCTTCGATCAAACGTGTCAGCTAGATTGTCTCGCCCCTTACATGACTTCCCTCAGAGTGCTGCATCGTTGGTGCATCCGGCAAATAAAAAAAGAAGGACTAAGCTGCTATCAAAGACTCATAGTATGAATGATGGTCGATATCTTTGTGAGCAAAACACAGCGATAGATCAAGCACTTGGCAAGCACATGGTAAGGCGACTCTGTCTTGAACAGTTCTTGCTTCAAAACTCCAGTGTGCAAAAACCCAGCTCTTGTGCAGATTGCGTCTGCAATTTTTCTTGTGTGATTGCACTCAACCCCCCCGAGCGCACACCAAAATGAGACTAGGTGAGCCTAGAGCTGAAAGAAACGCCTCGCTCACTTCGTTCGACCTCAATTCAGACGACGACAAGCCGCTGACCATTTATTTTCTTTTAGGCTGTAGACGTGTTGTTTTCGTTTATGTTTTTTTTGCCTTTCTTCAGATCCCTTTTCCTTCAACCAATTTGGGCAAAATGCAAATCACAAGACCCTGACGTGCGGTTGCCGGCTCAAGTGTCTCTTTCTTCGACGCCTTGGACCTTGTGCCATTGACGTTCGATTTGGCCTTTGCCTTTGCCTTGACGGCCATTCCCTCTGCACTGTTTGCATTGCTTGCCGCTCCAACGATCTTTCCTTTTCCCGGTGAACCGGGTGGCGGTGGTGGAGGTGCTCCTGCTGGTGGCGGAGGTGCTCCTGCTGGTGGCGGAGGTGCTCCTGCTGGTGGCGGAGGTGCTGCTGTTGGTGGCGGAGGTGCTGCTGTTGGCGGCTTCGGAACGTTTGCAGCCTGCGGAGCCTTTGTCCCCGGCGGTGGCGGTGGAGTTTTGGGTATCGATGGCAAACTGCCGTTGCTCGGTGGCGGGGGTGGCGGCACCTGACCAACAAGAACACGAGAATGTCTTTGCAGGGTAACAGGAAACATGTTCAAAGAATGCACAAGCACGCAACTCAGAAGCGGCTGTAATCTCGTTTTATGTTTGAACAGTGTTTGTCCACCCTTCACGCCTGAAGGTCTATGTCCAAGTCTGCAAGAATCTCATCAGCCTCGTCCTCGGCATCGTTTAACAGCATCAAAAATGAAAGGAATCAGGCGAAATGAGACGGAGAAGAAGAGGCTCCAACATAGTTTGAAGTTGTTTTGTTTTCTTTTCTCTTAACTTGAAGAGCGAAAGAGGCGATCCCTTCGTAAAAAGAAAATGGTATGCGCTTAAGCAACCACTAAATTTAGGCCTAGGCCCTCCGGACTTTGTGCTTACCATACTATCCTCTAACCACTAGCGCTACTGTCCTTGAGCGCCTTTTCTTCTCTTACTTTCGTCACCCCAAGCCCAATCCCAAGCGGCTTTGGCGACACATGCAGCAGGCTGCTACCACAGGGAGCCTGGCCATTCTCCAAAGCAAAGCCGTCGCCAAAAGCCGGGACCACCACCTACCAGCCAGTCGTCCAAGCTCAACACCTTGTCGGCTACCCAGCTAAGCTCGGCATCAATCCGACTGAATCTTCGTTCAGGTAACCTGCACAAAGAGATTGAACGCTTCAACAGAGCAGACGCAACGCTGAAAAAGAAAACCACGCCAGGCTCTGCCAATCGACGTGGTTTCGGTCTTGCCGCAGCTGCACTCGCGCATGTGGCCACATACGTCCTTCATAGTTGTCAATGAAGCTCGTCCACCTGCGTGGGTTGGTCGAAGGGGTAGGTGGACAATAGCATTCGTCGATCCTGCAAGCGAAACACTGACCCTCCTGCGGTTCGGTAGAGGAGACTCCACAAACTTACTTGCGGCGCCTTGACCTACGAAACCGCCTATATTTAAAAACATAACGCGTGCAATGGCCTGCCAAATTAAGTTCGATCTTATTCAGAGAAGGTTGTGAGGAAAATGCATTTTTTGTGCAGCATATTGAAATGAGCTATGGAGAGGCCGGGGACATGGAGGCTATGAGCGTTGGAGGTCTTGTTGGGGTTGCCTCGATCACACAACCTGCGTGGACCCCGCAAAAATTAAACGCAATGCGCCACAGAGGAACCCTCTTTTCCTCCGGGCGTCATCTTAGAGGACATGGACTGCGTCGAAGGCATTGAGGTAGGTCAGTAACCACCTTAGCCTCCCCAACATGCCACATGTAGCCTTCAGTATTATTCCTTCCCGGTGACCTTTGCAGCCCTTTTGGCACATTGCTTCGGCAATGCGCTTTTTTTGGTGCACAGTAGCGACACCTGCCTTGTTAATTGGCTTCCAAACGCCAAGAGAGCAAGCCTCACTTGACCCGTGGGCGGAATGGAAAGTCATGGAAAGCCTCAGCACCCCCCCCACCACCGTCTCCACACTCACCTGGGCTGAAGATTATCGCGGGGAAGCGCCCTCAGACAAATTGCCAGGAGAACCGACTTGCGCCTCTGCTCAGCTCGACAGAACCTGGCCGAAACTGCTTCATTTAGTTTGATTCGCAGCCGGGCCAGAGGGCTACACAGCAACCTTTCAAAAGATTGATCCTTTTTCGTTCGCAACATGCACTTATCTTCCCGAAGAATGGTTTTACAGGCGGAGAAGTGGAGAAGTGGAGTAGCTGGATAGGGCCGAGATGAACGTGTGGCAGAGCTGCGTCAACATGTTGTGTTTTTCGACCGCGATGAATTGTATTCTTTTTGTTGTTCGCAGAACAGCATTCTATCTTTCAGGAGCTTACTATGGATCGAAGTCATGCGTCGGACCTCTTCTCAACCTCCACGACCTTCGCACAGGCTGAGTCCCTTCCTTGAGCTTTTTTTCTACTCAGCCTTCACCTCGTCCAGAATCCCAACCCCCATCATATGAAGGAAGCACTAAAAAACCGCCAAAGCTCTCGGGCAAAAGTTTCCGAGGCCTCTCTCAGCATTCTATCTCAAAGGCACTCTAGTTACTTCTGCTGCATTCAGGCTTCCGCCCTGAGCACCACGTGTGGAAGCACGCCATCACCACGACCTTCCTGCAGAGTTATCCTGTTTTGGGCTTCCTCACTCCAGAAAGAGCTGACCAAGGGTCCATTGTCTTGAGGAGTGCCTTAGTTGGGGTCTAACACGCACCCGAGCCGTTGAGGTGGAGTGCGGGTCAAAAGCCCTTGCCCTCCATGATGTGGAACCCTATCTTTCCTGGCATCCTGAACTTGTGCCACACTCAGTGGATCCGCTCTTGGGTCAGTCATCACCTGACAGACCTCCCCTCGGCACCGTCCGCCGAGACACGACGAAGCTGCTGGGATTGGAGGCGCTCGACCCATCCTTTCCTGAGCAATCAAAGCGTCCAGATGCCGATCCATAGCGCCCACTTCCAAAGATGGCCTTCCCGCTTCCTGCTTGATCTCGTCGGCCTTCTTCGGCCAACAATTCCTCAAGAAAGAGAAGCGGTTTTAGTCCCTTGAGCCAAAGCGCTCAAAGTCGCGTTGAACTTGATTGTGAGCTGACACGAACTAAATCCTTGAGAGATGCAGTTTCGAACATGCCGCAAGTTCTAAACAGCTCACTTATTTGCACTCGTGCAACTTATATGAATTCATATTGACTCAATCTGCTGTTTTTGGCCAAGTGAAAACCATTCCCCACGCGCCATCTCACTCCCTTGTGCCCAATCACACTGGTGAGCTCCACGATCTGCTGTTGGGCTTCTTCCAGCAACCTAAACACCCGCTGCAAGAACCGACGCAACATGTGTGAAATGGAATCTTCGAGGGAAGCAAAGTTCAAGAGTTTAAACAGTGTCTTGTTTTCTGTTATGCAACGTGCTGCTTTGTTTCCGTTTGCATCTCACATCTTAACTTGTCAAAGGAGAAAGAACGAGAACATCGGAGAACAACAGAGGGCCCTTCACGGTACGGAACAAAAGCAACAGAAACCATGTCGTCTTGTGAACTGGTCACTCACTGAACCACTCTGAAACGTCTGAACTGGACGCAAATCCAAGCAACAGGACTTGCGGACGTGTGAATCAGGCTGAGTCAAAACAGGAACAACAGTTCCAAACATGTTAATCACAAAAGAATTACAAACAAGTAAACAGAAAAAGAAAACAACCATGAAGCAAGGGTGCCTTACATTCCTTTTCTCATCTCTGGTTCTTCTTTTCTAAAGCTTTGCAGTGAGAGAATATCACAATTGATCGCACTGTCTGTTCTACAATAACTTGAGTGAGCAGGTGGATAAAAAGATATGGTGTTCTAATGTATTTGAGGCGGAGGTTTGTTGACTCAAGTTGGTCAATTGGTTGGCTACCTTGCTTACTGCACGCTGGTTCATGCCACATACGTACACAAAAGGTGCAAGTCAAAAAATGGACGCCACAGGGCAGTGAGAATGCGGTGACGGCTAACCAAGAGTATATCGAAAGGATCGTGAGACAAGGGAGAATAGGATCAAACGGGTAAGAGGAAAGAAGGTGTTGTGAATAGAACAACAATAAAATGTCAGTCTTGTATTTTGAAGGACACATATTATTTGCACAAGCCCAAACAGTTGGCGCCCCAAACTACTCCACAACATGTTAGAAATAGGAACAAGAAGCTGCTAGGAACAAAGGGCATCGCTACTAGGAACAAGGAGGCTACTAGTAGCTCCTGGCCTTACTACTAGTAACAAGGACGCTACTAGGGGCTATACACGGTACTTTATGGGGAACAGTCCATAAACTACATATACACCGAGGCAAGCAGGGCATACACATGTGTTGAGGCTGCAGTTGCAGATCGCGTTGCAAACGCAAATCAAAGCCGGTTTACAACTCGTTGGAACTAAACACCTGTGTCAACATTGATCCGGGAGGGATCAACCCTGAACTTAAACCCGTCCTGAACCTTCCTAGGCTCACAGACCCCTATATTTACATATATTTACATTATTTAGTCAAAATGTCAGTTGGCAATGTGGCACTCTAAGTTTCAGGCGCGGTAAGTTGTTGCTCACGTCTCTTGGCATCTTCCAATTCTTTGGTGAGCACCACCTTCAGTCAATGTGGCACTGCACAGCTCGATTCCGGTGAGGGAAAAGCTAAAGTGTCCACAAGAACCATGTCATTCGTTGGACTAGGTTTCTTAGGAGAATCCTTGCCGCTATAAAGCAGTGGAGCTATCTTAAAGCGATAAAAAGTTGCAGTGCGCGCAAACAAAACATGGAGCATTTACCAGCAACAGCATCGACGACTCCCCAACACATACACGCATACACATATACACACATCCACAAACAACAAGGAAAACACTGGAACAGGATAATTAACAACACCGCAACACACCAAGAAAACAAGAAGGCAGCTGAGAGCGCATACCGGGAGGCAAACATAGAACCGAACAAGTACCCACAAGTGACCCACATGTCACAGAGTTGATTGACAACCCAATGTCGGCAATGGGAGTTCAGTTGGGTTCCGCCAATCAGCAAACTTCCCCGAAAAAGAACAAAACAAAACCAAGTTGCCCTCAGAATCATGGGCAAACTCTGTGGAGGCTTGCGGCTTCGTCAGCAAAACAGGCTCTTGGGGAAAGGTTCGAGCATCTTGCTAATCTCCAAGTAGCAAGGACGCTACTAGTAGCTCCTGGCCTTACTACTAGAGACAAGAAGCTACTAGGGGCTCCTGGCATCGCTACTAGGAACAAGAAGCTACTAGGAGAAAGGGCATCGCTAAGCACATCTTGCACACTTGGAGGACCTGCACTCACGGTGGCCACACCACCTGGCTGTGCTCCATAGGAACTATGGCAGCTATCGGAGGTGCTCGCGTGCGGTCGTACTGGGTCTTGTCCACTGGGCACAGCCCGGACGGTCCACAATCGAACTCACCACTCAGGAGCAGGGACGCTACTAGGAGCTCCTCGCCTTACTACTAGGAACAAGAAGCTAGTAGTAACAAGTGCATCGCTACTAGGTTGGAAGAGGTGCCTTACCACTACTAGCTAGAAGCTACTAGGTTAGAGGCCATCGCTAGTAGGTTGGAGGCCATTACTACGCTACTAGTAGTAAGGTATTAGTAACAAGGTGCCTGCAAAGAGCCCAAGGAGATCCAAAGAGCCCAACGAGCCCATGACATCGAGGGACTGAACCAGCCGGGTCACTGCGTTTTTCGCGACCCCTGAGCAGTGGCGTTTTAGAAAAGGCCTTGGAACCACTCACCGACCAAGCCGGGCGCTACCATAAAGCACGCGCATTCCGTGCGTTTCACTCTGAAGTGAATCTCAACAGCAACATGTCGGCTGTCTGAACTCATGGAAAAGCCGAACATGCCAAAGGAAATGATACACATTGAAGTGTCATGAAAACTGCGTGCACAATTCGAAGCGTCGTTCTCAACAACGCACATGGACTCAAATGCATGAATCGTAAAACATTCTGACTTCTCCTACATACCTGGATGCTCATATGGTTTTAGCATGAACATTCTGCACTCATTGGAATGTAATGGAAGTGCTGTGTGGAACTGTCAAGCAAAGGTCAACAAATTTGGGATGACATGTCAATAATAGTGCCTGTATTCTCACCATATTAGGTTGGAGGCCATCACTTTTAGGAGGTGCCCAGCTACCAATAGTCCCTGTATTCTCACACACCGTGTTGCACCCCTCACACCGTGGTATGACGACAATCTCGCGCCTTCTCCCTGCGGACTGTTACCAATTCTGTCTCCTTCTCTTTCAGCTCTTTTGCTCTTTCAGCCTGAGGCAATACGGTGCGAAAGCCCTGATAGACTTGATACAGACTTGATAGACTTGATATGAAAGCCCGCAGTTCGTCAACATATACGCCGGAGTTGGGAACAAACGAAGGGCAGCAACTACGTCGTTCCAGGCGAAGAATGCCATGGAGAGCCCCATGAAAGCCCATTAAAACCCCAGGACTTCAATCACCAAACCTAGAAACATTAGAGAAATAGAAATGACGTTCAAATGAACTTTGTGGAAAGTTCTGTTAAAAGCAATAGAATGTTCCTTAAGGCACCCATTCTTTAAGGGAACTTTCCCTCAGCAAGCCATTCTTGACTGCTCTGCGGGGGTGGCTGTTTCTTTTCCCCCCCCGCGGGACAGCTGTGACAAAGGTGGCACAAAAATTACGATGATTCATGTGTCTTTCACTTGTGAGGTGCAACCTTCAAGCCCCTCTTAGGTTGGAGCCCATCGCTCTTAGGTTGGAGGCCATCGCCATTAGGTTGGAGCCCATCGCTATTAAGTTGGAAGCCATCGCTCTTAGGTTGGAGGCCATCGCTCTTAGGTTGGGGGCCATCGCCATTAGGTTGGAGCCCATCGCTATTAAGTTGGAGGCCATCGCTATTACGTTAGTCGGAGGCCATCGCTATTGGGTCGGAGGCCATCGCTATTAGGTTGAAGGCCATCGCTATTAGGTTGGAGGCCATCGCTCTTAGGTTGGAGGCAATGGCTATTAGGAGGAAAGGAGGCCATAAGTTCCTTGGCAGTTTGCCTCAAAGTTGATTGTGAGACCTTGGGTCATTCAGTGTCACGCACGGGAGTTTCCTGGCCCTGAGGCGGGGGAGCTTCCTCGAAGAGCTCTTCCCCCATCCCGGCACCACTTTTAGCCACACTAAAAACAACACAAGCTAAGTAGCTAGTCGTACACAAGCTTCTTGCAAAAAGCTGTAAAATTTTGTCAGAAATCAGTTTTTGCTACCAAATACCTCACTCTTCCCATACATATCCTTATTGAGATGGTGTTGGCGTTCGGCCTTAGATCAAATTCATAGGATGAGTAGGTCCACCATGACATGCTTGAGGGATGTTGGCTATGACTTGTAGGTTCTTGTGACTCGTTCCCTGTCCTCTTTCCGCACAAATTCCGGTTCATGATAAAGGTTCCCTGAATTTGAGAGACTTTAAATACGAGTGGTATACAGTATGCAGTATACCATATACTTTAGTGCGCTTCCTTTGACCTGTTCATCTTGTGGCTTTTTTCGCCTTGTTTTAAGCTTGAGGCTGAAACATCTCCCACCCACGTGCTCTAAAAGTCTTGAGGCATAAGATATTGTTCAATTCTTGGCACTTAAGCTCGGACCTCATTGTATTTGGCTGTCCATGATTATCACAAATGAACCAACTACAGCTGTCGGCTCGCTTTGTTTCAGTTTCTGTTGCAGTTTTGGTGTCGTTTGGAGCTTAGTATGACCCCAGGTAGTGACCCTGGAAATGTTGTTTTTGGGTACTTCATTTTGCTTCACTACTAGGAGCAGGGACGCTACTAGGGGCTCCTGGCCTTACTACTAGTAACAAGAAAGCTACTAGAGGCATCAAAAGTATGAGAGCGGATGTTTTGCTGCCATTGTACAGTGGATGGGGCATGGCAGCGGGCAGGGAATCAGCAAAACAATTCATGGAAAGAGCAGGCGTTCCAATTTGCATGTGTTCAGGAAATGTTGTTGGTAGAGAGCTTGTTAGGGTTTTCGTCAAAGCTAGCATTAGCTAAGACTTGTGTCCTGGAAAATCTAGGAACCAAATCATTAGTGCGAGCGCTTCTTCAAGCAAGCTCGGCCGCCTTTAGGGCGGCGGGGGGGAGCTTCCTTGAAGAAGTGTGAGCCATCTTGCGTCCTAGCTAGGAGTTTCCTATTGCTAGTACCTTACCTCCTTACCCGATTAAGTAGGCTTTTGCTTAATCAAGTAAGGGCGGCTTTAAAAGACACTCTTTTGACACGTACTCTAATGACTGAGCCAAACCTC